TATGCAAAAATACTTGGTGAAAGGAAAAATTGTAAGTAAAACTTTCACTTCATTCAAACAATCAAGTAGATTATGACAAGAAGAACACCAGAACATAAATATACTAATACCACTGCCCACGAAAGAGCAATTTCCTTGGTTCCTGCTCAGTAAACCTGCCTAGTTCGACAGTCACCACTAAATACCCATCTAACCAACATAAAACAAACAATTTAGAAGATATAAATAAAAATAAGAAGAAAAAAATGAATCTTCAATAGAAACCTAATGAAATTCTTCAAATTGAACAAAAAACCATCATTTCCAAGTTGTAAGTAAATTATGAATACACATCCACATATAGTACCTAAATGTTCCTAACCCAAGTCACTGAAAATTTCTAACAGGTAGAGGAATTTTTTTTTATACTTGACTACGCCGATATGCTCATAGATCAAACTTAAACCCCCCAAAAAACCAATGAATGCAAAGAAATATTTGAATCCAGAGAACAAATTAAATAGGTAGATGCCTATTTCCTTACCCAAATGTAGAGCAGTTGGGAAACAATGACTGCTCTTGAAGGCTGTTCCGAACAAAATGGTAGTCTCGTTGATGCATTCCCAATCTAGAACTCATTCCTCGCAAATCTCCTTCTCACTCAGACCTCAATCTAACCAAAACAAGATCTTCTCCACACCACCACTCACCACTCCTTGCATCTCCTCCCCTTAGCAACTCTCCCCACCAATTGCCCCCTATTTCTCACCCTCCCTCTTTTTTATTCACAAACCCACCTCCATATCCAAAAACTAATAAACCCATATTCAAAAATTAGCACCATTGCACTCACTCTATCCTGCTTTCCAATCATGAAACAGTAAAGATTTAACACAAGGTTCTGGCTAGCACTTAATAAACATATCTGAACTTCCATTAATCAAATTTTAAATCATGCGCGTACAGAGGCTTACACTGATACTCGGGTAAAGCCCAAGAAATTTTGTAATAAAAATCCAAATGAATTCAAGGGAATCAGAGGGTCAAACTGATTCACCCAAAAAAATTAAATAACGACTCTTTTCTTCTCCCCCCACTATCAGGTGTAAACAGTTTATGGCAAGGACAATGACTTCAACAAGTATACAAATTTTGTTTATGCACTTTGAAAAATGGCCCCAGCTTGCTTTCTTCTAAAACTTTACTCTAAAGTCCCAGGAAACACTCAATACAGGTCCAAGTAGTAAGAATGCAAAGCAGATAAAAAAAACTAAATCTTCAACACAACTACTAACAAAAGATACAAAAAAAACCCAATTTTTGATAAAAACATATCAAGGAAAGCGGAAAAAAAAACAAAGGGATAATCCAACAGAAACCAACATTTGTGTGTGTGTTACCTATCTATCAATGAGAAGAAGAGACAGAAAATACCCCAGAGGAATAGGACAAACCCTAAGAATAAAAAATAATAGAAGCAAATAATGAGAAAGAGAAAATGAGTCACATTCACCAGAAGAACATTAAAACTAATAAAAAGAAGAAGAAAGCACAAAGACCCATTGATTTAGACTTTCTTCTAGCTCCAAACTTTCAATCTTCGAAAAACCATAGAAACCCACTGATGTGAAATCTCAAAGAAACGAAAAAAAAACAATCTGTGAAGATCGCGGAGGAGGAGAGGGCGCGCGTGAACAAGATCACGTACTCACGATACGATTGCGATCGAAGGAGAGGAGCGGCACCGTTCGTCGAAGCTAAGAAGTGCGGCAGTAAGAGGAGGGAGAGGAGTAACGTAGACGGAGGGAGAGGGACGGCCAAAAATAGAAGAAGAGAGAGAGAGAGAGAGAGAGAGCGCAGAATTAATTAGGTTTGGCTTTGTACAAAAATATATATATATATAATATACCATTTAATACAATTAACGGACTAATACCTCATGTCGCCAATTACTGAATTTTAACTTTAGCGGACTAAAAAAACTTTAGTCGCCAATTACTTTTTACTTTTTTTTTAATTACATTTTGGCGACTAATATTTTAGTAGCCAATACCTAATATTTTGGCGACTAACATTTAATTTTGGTCAACTAAAATATTTTTGGCGACCAAAATTTTGCCCAAAAATAATCAAAAAATAAAAAAAAAAAAAAAAAAAAAAAAAAAAAAAAACAAAAAATAATTTTAATTCTACATCAGCACACACTAAGATATTATAGAGACCAAAACTCAATATACCGGCTGACCCCTTAAAAATTTTTTTTTTGTCCGCCAATTCTAGTTATTTTAGCGACCTAAATTATCTTTTAGTCGCCAAAAATCAATAAATCCCGACTAAAAAAAATTTAGTAGCTAAAATTTTATACTTTTCGCGACCAAAAAAAAGTTTTTACCCAATTCCAAACATTTGGCGACCTAAATTTGTTTAGTCGCAATTTTAGCCAAAGAGAATTTGTGTAGTGAATTATGAAATTTACATTTCCAAATCAATGGGAACGAATATCTATAAGAAAATTCTTTGAGACTAAATGAGATGGGATTTATAGAATAATTTTCCTAAAAAATAAAATTTTTTGTGTATCGATTTTCGGTGAATATAATGTGTATAATAATTTGATTGTCTTGTACTAAAAAGGAAAAATAATAATTATAAGTATCTCAATAAAGTTCTATTTTATTCTAAGCGCCTAATATAACGATATCATTGTAGAATAGACACTAAATATATGTCGCCTAAACAAAAAAAAACAATTTTATAATATAGCTTTTCCAAAAAAAAAATTCCATGCTCGCACACACAGTAGTTTTGGGTCTGAGCTAAATGTTATCCTCAAATATTATTTAAGCTCCGCCCTCTAGATATTGAGATATAAGAAATAACAAAAAATTATAATTTCTTATATATATACTATTTTGCGATCTCCTAAAAGATAAGTAATAATATTTGTTAATTAATATATATAGATTGTACTGCACTAATACAATACATTATATATAATAACAATCGTGACCAAAAATATATACCACAAAAAATTAAAGAATCGCATGTCATCAATAATTATTACTGTATTTTGTGTTTCAAAAACTAAATTAACTAATAATATTTAAATGACGTCGAATTCCTAAATAATTAACAAAAAAAATTATTCAAATAAAAATAAAATATAAGTAAATAAATAATATATAATATTTGAAGCGAACTAGACTATAGACAATATAATAAGATCAATTCTTTCTTAAAAATAAGTTATATATGTTTCAATTTATATCTTATTTTATGCTATTAAAATTGAATACTGAGCAAACACCAAAAAAATATCTTTAGATTCACATATAATTTTTAAGCTTATATTAAAAATTCGAAAATTAATAATAATATATTTTAATTGTCGTTCAAATTTAATAATGTAAATATTATTCATAATAAAATTACAAAAATATTATGTACCTAAAACCACATTCAGATCAACACCCATATTCTTATAGCAATCGTGATGGGCAAACAAGCAGTGGAAAGACATATACCATGATTGGAATAACATAGTACACAGTCGCAGGCATTTATGACTATATACATAGGGTAACAAATAAAATGTTTATTTGGTGTCGTTTTCTGTTTCATTTTTATATTCCATTATGTTCTTTGTTCTTAAACATTTATAACTGTAATATTGTTTCTTTTTCCACCCTCTACGATCTCCAGCATGAAGATAGAGCATTTGTTTTGAAGTTTTTTGCTATGGAAATCTACAACGAAGTTGTAAGAGATCTCCTTAGCGCGGATAGTCTTCCACTCAGGGTCGTAGATGATCCAGAGGTAAATGTGTTGAATCAATCTTCTGTGAAAATAAAATAAACTGAAATAATTCGAACAAAATAAAATAACACTTACAGAAATTATTTTGTTGAACCAAACAAAAATTAAAAGACCAAGTCGAGTGTGTGACACTCTGTCCTTAAGACAAATTCGCCCCGCTATGGTACTTACGGTTGAGTGGCGTCTATCTCCCAGGATACACTGATCTTCACAAATTGTAGTAGTACTCCAAACAATTTGTTTGGCGAACCAAACCTGTGTTCTAACTCTCTGAAATTTATACTAAAACTAATATGAAGAATAATGGAAAAAAAATTCAGAATTTAGGACAGTAGAAAGACCACAATCAGACTGAATTATTCATCCTTAAGACTGCTGAATATGGTTCTATTTATAGGAAAAAACGGAGGTCTGAATAGGTTGCAATTTGAAAGAAGAGACGCAAGTGTTGAAATTCAAATAATCTGACCGTTTGAACAGCAACGGTTTTATACTTCCAGACAATTTGAAAAAGGGTCTGTTGGCTTGTTTTGAAGGAACAAATCCCAAACCTGTAAAACTTTATTAATTAAACTAATGAAATATATATATATATATATTAACCAAATTGAATAGTTTAATAAATAAAGTAAGAGGTACAAATTTTAGGAAACCAGTTAGGGATCCAAAATTTTGAATTTAGAATTAAATTAAATTCCCACAATTACAAATTTTAGGAAACCACTCAGGAACCCAAAATTTGAATTTAGAATTTAAATTAAATTCCCACAATAATTTTTATTGAAAAAATTCAAAGGAATTTTATCTAAAAAATTAATGTTAGACTCGAAAACGACGTCAACTTCCCATTCACTCATAAATGGTTTTGACGTTCCGTCTTCACCGTGTGACTTGCCACATGGCAAGGAACACGTCACCTCTTCGGACCCACCCCAAAAGACGTTTGGGGCCCACTCAATTTTGAGCTAATAAAAATATGCCTATATTAAACCATTTTTCCAACAAAATGTCTATTTATTTATTTATTCAGTTTCATCCACTGAATATATACTTATATATACACATTACTTGTGTCATGTGATGTGAAATTGGTCTGTGCCAATTCTACACACAAGTAATTGTTCTCATATTGCAGGCATCACATAAAAATGGGTCCCCTTCTTGGTGTTTCAACTATGAAACAGCTGGACTTTCTCTTGATGACAATTCCATGGTGCTATAAAATCTCAACAGAAACTTACCTCATCTCCATCTCCTTGGTAGACCAAGTACGAATCAAGATTCTTTATGAAGAAATTTTATATTGGTTCACCTAGATAGAATAACAATGTGTACCATAAATCATATTGATTAAAAGAATCCCAAATTGAAAAGGGATATTACATATCAGTGGTCTTTTTGAAAAGTACTTACATATTTATTTAGAAGTTGATAGTTTAATGTTTTAATATGTATAAAGTTTTTCATTAATATGTAAATATTTTTTCAAAAGTCGGTTTGATTTGATATTTTTTCAATTAATACCCCCTTTCCCTTGCACTTTGATTGCGTAGTATAAAAATCATCTCAGCACTTACTTTATAGTTAATTCTACAAAAGTTTAGAAGATTTAGAAAGTGACAACATTTAAAATCCTTCTTATTTTATA